ATTCGAATGACGTCATATCGAACATGGTGGAACATGATTCGGGTTCGAAACATGTTTGTGGCAATCGTGCAGACACACGGCGGAACTCGAACATGAATATCAGCCTAGGCCGCCTTAACCCAACCGAGAAGTTAGATTTGATTGTAAAGAGAACCCTCTAGATTCTGGCAAAGTCACGGTCTGGTTGGAAGTGACGATGATAACTTACGGTTCTTCTTCCTCCTGCTTTCAACCGGGCTTGCGACGAACAAGATGGCGATGGCAAGAATGTAGAAAATGTAAGTCCTGAAAAAAACAACAACAACACGATGCTAAATGAACGTGAATCATTATCAACGTTAACGTCTGAAAGATTTCATAGAAACCCAAGTACATGTGCTGTAGTTTGTTTATTTGTTTGTTTGGATTTTCCACAAAGTTAAAGTTAAAGCAAAACAGGTGCATAGGCAACTTTACAAGTTGCCCTCCCCCAGTTTTAAAATCGAATTTCTGCTAGCTGTATTCTTTGCTGACAAGTTGAGTGCAGTGGCGTTGTGACGTTAGAATGTTAACACCGTCAAATTGTCCCATAGGTTTTCATATCCCACCTTCGATGAGGGTGATTGAAAACAAACCGTACAAGAGCGCCACCTCGCGATATGAACGAGAAGTTTCTCAGCGCCACTAAATGTCATATAGCATAAATCGGAGTGAGTACTTCACACCCATTACACTTTTCAATGGACTGTCGAGCGACTAAAATAGGATTTGTATAACCTATGTAATTGGAAAATGATCCATGCTGAAAAAAAGCATGATTTGTAAGGTAACAAATCACACAATAATTACAAAACCCATCCTCATGTCGCACTATGTCGCTATTCTACAACTGAGTGTTCTAGAACTCAACTTAATTTGAAGACAAGGCGATAAGTTTTGCCTCAGATGATCCACAGATACTCTACCACCTGATGGACTAAGTTAGGACACACACCGACAACCCTGAAGGAAGCTAGAAGCTGAGGAAGATCGAAGACAAATTTGGCTGCCTCGCTCACGCCATTTTGTTGACGTAGGGTGACGTAGGTTGTTTCAGGTGTATTGAGGTGTGTTCAGCTGGGAAAGGCAGCTGTTTCGTAGCTGCCTTAGGCAAAACATGGCTACCAACCTTTCACATGTTCTGTCACTTTTAGTTCACGTTTTGGGTACCAGTTAAACGTTTTCTTTCTAATACTCCTCGTTGTTGTTGTTTATCACCAACTATGTTTACAAGATTTGAGCAGAAAATAGCCGAAAGGATTATGCTACGGCCAGGCTTTGTCAAGTTACGAACACACCCACCCACCCATGTAATTACCGGTATAAGATCGAAATGTCATATCATAATGAACTGGTCGAACGGGTGGCCCCACTCATGGCAAGGTTATATGTACATGTTTGAGCTCGCCGCTTCAAAATTAAGCCCCTGTCACACATTCAGAACCTTCCCCCCGACCACCAACGAAACAACCAATATTGGCTGAGGTTCGGGACCAGTCTGATGACCAGATTTAGGCCACGCATATTATTCTATTCGAATCAAATAGAATTTGAGTTAGATTTGTAGTCAAATTTGTCCCCCCGAACTCACCACAAACACTTCTGACTCAATCCCGAACACCAGCCAACCACCAGCCAAACAATGCCAAACCTCCTGTCCACACGTACACCTCATCAGGAATGTCTTAAACATTTCAAACATTCGGCTGGCGCAGCCGAGCAGTAGCCGACCTTGACGAACACCCACCGACTACAGCCGACCTTGCTCCCGTTTGTGTTCGGCAGTGTTCGGAGGCCATATTCGGCTGTACATACACGTGACAGGGACTCTCATTCTGCCGACAGCTTTTTTTATCTTTGCCAGAAACATTTCGAGGACTTTTTCCTGAAACGTTTTGCTACGGCTATCCAGTAGAAATAACCATAGGTCTATCAAGTGAATTTCCCAAAGTCAGTAACGCAATGCTTTATAAGTAAATGCCTGAGGGGGGCAATCAAGAGATCATAGTTACGCCAAGGGTTAATATCTAATTCCATATATCATATATGATGAAATCTCTCACTAGGGACAAATTGTGGAGGCGTCTCTGAGTTGAGCATGTAGGTAATTATCAGTTCGCCATGTTAACCGAGGAATGTGTGCCCTCGGGCTACGTGCGTCACCCCGCTGAGACCCGAGGGTGTTGACCGGTAGGAGAGATCACAGGCAACGTGACATGTGCATCCGTACGCTCATGCGCCGACAAAGTAGCCTCTACCAGGCTTCGGGAGGCGGCTGGAAAGAGTAGAAATCGCACCCAGGTCCGGCAAACAGTTGTCTCTACCGGACCAACATGGCATGTTATCTATTAGGCCGATTTCTACTCTTTCCAGCCGCCTCCCGAAGCCTGGTAGAGGCTACTGAAAAAGGTCAATGTGTTTAAAAAAATACTATAGGGGTTGTGTTGTGGCCACATTCTACGGGAGGAAAAATAACCCTCTAGGTTTTAACAGAACCCTCTAGATTCTAAAAAAAGTCTCTAGATTCTAAAAAACCTCTAAGGTCTGAAAGAGCCATCTAGATTGTAGAAAGAACCCTCTAGATTCTAGAAAAGAATCCTCTAGATTCTACAGAACCTTGTAGATTTCAAAAGAACTCTCTAGCTTCTAAAAGAACCCCCTAGATTCGAATAGATTCTCTCTAGAGACCCTCTAGGTTATAAAAATAACTCTCTAGATTCTAAACCACATTTATTCTACAAATAACTCTAACTCTAACAAAAGAACCATCTAGATTCCAAAAAGAACTCTCTAGATTCTAAAAAGAACTCTCTAGATTCTTAAAAAAAACCTCTAGATTCTAACAGAATCCTCCGGATTATAAAAGAAACCAGGGTGCGGTCGCATTCGTTGCAGGAGTTTTTTTGTCGTAGGATTTGTCGGCAATGATAACTTTTTCCGTTACAGTACAATGTAACTGTATTGTACGACATAGATTTAATAATACGCTTTTGGTAAAATTGCTAGTAAATGAGCTTGAGCTTTGAAACGATTGTCTACACCAATGCCTACAGTCTTCAATTCTACCATTCATTATTCATAATAGCAGACCACAGACTTAACAAGACACAATGGGAGGGTTTGAGTCTGAGGTGAAAAATAAAGGTCAACATGTAATTTCGTGCGCTAGATCAGAACTAGTGAGACAGCCGCCGACCTTGAGGTCGTCAGCTGCAGCGTAGAGGATCGCAAAGGGGTTCCGACAACACTCAATTCACTTCTTACGAATCGCACTGAATTTCAGGAATAGATTGTGGCGTTTTGCGTCTAATTATGATTACCACCACAAATTACAGGAAGTTTGATATCTTCTACAAAAAACGGGAAACAAAAGCATCTTGCTGTAAAAAGATGCAAGCAGACCCCCCGGTAATTACACTTATTGCGTGTCTCCTTTCCTAGGTGTGTCCCATGTAACATAAATCAAGAATGAACTAACTTCATTCGCGTTCTTATCTTTAAGAAGCTGTTTTATGATACAGCATGTCTTGAGACCAATCCAATCTTCATCACTAATAACTACCCTACAACAGACCAATATTCCCAGTCGGGCGTTTTGTTTCATATGAAGATCTATCTTGTGTTGTTGTCCCATCATCTGGAACAAAATGGACGATTGGATCTCGATCATTGACCTTTTGGCGTTGACGACTTTCGTGTGAAATACACTAGATATAGACTTGTACAAATCATTTTTCCACATTTCGTCCATCTACTAAGTATACAAAGTCATAGTTCTGATAAACTGTCCAATACATATGTATACCCGTTCATTTGTTTTTACTCCAACTAAAATGCGAGAAGTTGAATTTGTATAACATTACCTCACGTATCTATTTATTAACTTGTTATTCATTATTAACTTATTATATTTATTAACTTTGTAGTTTAATAGTATACCCTGTAGTTGGCCAAGTTATAGAGTGGCAAAATGTTAGGGCTTGAAAACCAGCCAGTATTTCAGTTATCTACATACTAAGTTGAAATAATACTATCCAATTGTATATCGACATTCATGGAGCAACAATAACGAAAATTGTGACGGAAAACGGTTACTGGTAGGATCCTGGACCGATTTTTTGGGTACCACCCAGAAAATAAAGGACTCATCTTGGGGCTTGTTTCTGTGCTGTTTTAAATGCCCAAAGTTTAGAATACTTACGCAAATGTGCTAATGTGGGGCTGTAGGTGTCAATATCATAAAGATAGTCCCGTTCAGAATATTCTAGTTCTGCAGTTCTAAAATTGCATTGGATGTCTTTGATTTGATTTATTGAAATTGTTACAATACACATGGAACAAAGGCAGCTGTTGCTGTCGTTGTGTCCCACACATAGAAACAAATACAGGACAGACACTACTCAATTATACCTGGAAGTCGTGTAAAGTGCCTTTCTGAAGAGCACAAGATCGGTGGTATGTCGAGACTCGAACCCGGGACATCTTGGTAGTTGTCTTAATAATTAATTCAATTCAGTATGCCTACAGTTTGGTACTAAGTGACCTTCGGGATCGTTACCTTTCACATTCGTGTGAGGTGGTAATTACACCCCACCCACATTGAAACGACGTGACATTTGAGTCAAAATCATCAAAGGTAAAAGGTGATTAAATGATGATGTAACATTTCGCAACACATGTAATGTTTATCTCCAGTCATTAAAAAGGTAGAATTTTTCTCATCAAGTCAAGCAAATTTTGATTTTCATCTCATTATTGGCGTGTTTTTCGGCATTTTTAATTTTTGTATGGTACTCATATATTTTTTTTTACGCCAACCAAATAGTTACTGTCTCGCAAATGGATACAGCCTGGCCAATTTGATACTGTCTTTGCAGCTACCAAAAGATCTGCTTGGAGATTAGCAGAAATTAGCCAAACTATGGCGAGAGTATTCTTTCAGATGATTTGGCCGGTAGGAGTGTGGATTTTTGTCCACCGCAACAAAAAGGCTTTTTTTAAGTTACTGCACCGCATGGTGCCTATAACTAGTATAAAGTAGCAATTAGTGGACTTCAAAGGAACATAGCGACTTCGCATAGACCTTCGCCGTTACTAAGAATTCATTCCCCCATTGGCACAAGTGTACTCTCCAATCAGAGTTTCGGGCTTTGGTTAAATTTTTTAAATGTTTTTTTTTATCGGGCTTTCTTCTATGTACTGGTATCTTTTTTTGTGTTGGGCTGGCGCAAAAAAAAGATACGAGTACAAAAAATAAAGCCCGATAAAAATGCTTCAAGACACGCCAAAAATCGAAGCCCAAACCTCTGCTTGGAGAGTAACAACCGTGTCTAATCCGAAGTCTCCACCAGACCAGAGAGCTATATCTGAGCTGTCCGGAAACTAGTCAAATGTAGTGGAGAAAGGTGGAGATCTAATGTTTGCAGGCGAAGATGGGTTTTCATTTGCCTGAAATATTTTACCTTTACCACAGGCTCACTATCCTGGATGCTTGTTCACCCCATTTTTACCGGTCTACTAGCCGTAACCTAGCTTCGAAAGGCCTAGTGGAAAGCTACATTGGACCAGTCTCTATCACCACCTCCAGATCGAGTTCAAAAAGGTGTAGAAATCGGTCAGAATATGGTAGATATTTGACAGCGAGGATTCTAAAGTCTCTATTTAGCCTACCAAAGGACTGAAAAAAAACAGAACAGGTAGAAAATGGGTATAATAGGGGGATATTTTCTCATAGGACCTGGCCAGTTATAGGTGCATGGATTTTCCACCTCAATTACAGGCTTACTGCACCACTTGGGGCTTATTAGGTAGCGATTATAGTGACCTCGTACAGACCTTCAACAATACAATCCATTACTCACGATAGCTACTATTTTCTAGCTAGCCTCTACCAGGCTCCGAGAAACGGCTGGAAATCGGCCAAAAGGAAACTAACATACCAGGGTAGTTGGTACCCGCTGAGAGATTACTACTAATTTGGCGCTTCGGGCTAAGCGTTTTTCCTAAGATTTCTCGGTCTCCCTCAAAACTACGCTGCCTGAAAACTTGTAAAATATATCTCCCCTTCAAACACAAGAGGCAGAATGAACCGGAATGCCATCCGAATGAAAATACTTGGCTATGTGAGAAGTCAGTCTAGAAAAAAACCTACTACATTCTAAATATTTGTGTCCATTCTTGTGGCCGGCCAAATGATTGGAGCAAGTGTTTTGAGCATGCTGAAAACTTTCCAGGTGAATTCGAAGTGCAAGAAATATCGAATGGCATTTAAAGTGTTTTCTAACTGTAGTATGAATACATTCCGAAGTTATGTTCCTACAGCACCCCAGCATTTGAAACATTCTGATCAGTTTCAATGGAGAGCCGAAATGAGCCTGGGTATTTGAAATACACCGCAAATTTGGAGGAATGCACTTCGAATAGCCAGAGTACACCTTAAAATTTTCATTCCGACGGTAATCTGGCTCAATCCACCTCTTGTGTGTAGGAGATCTAACAAAATCAAGCATAATCTTCGGGGGCAGAACGCTATCAAATAGACCACCAGTATCCATTGTTAGCCGTGCACGTACACTTGGAGATACCTAGACTTTTCAGAATGTGGCGCAATTTTCATTCAGTTCTGCTAACTGACTCCTGAACAAGCATGAATGGGAATTTTTGAAGTGGAAGAAGGGGAATAATTTGCTGATAGTTTGGCCACCGTAGGATACGTAACATTTGTCCCCGAATCCAGGAGAAAATATTAACTGTGGGGACTCTATCTCTGGACAAATTATCACACCTCGTACGGATAAGAATCTAAAATGGAATACCTCTTCGCTTTGTTCAATGCAACATCGCGGCTCGTATAATAACAGTAGATCTGGCTGATAGGGGATTTTAGCCAGCAATTGTTTCCTCGTGCCACGTCATAGTGACTGGCACCCGGCCACAGACACAAAATTCCGGGGTTTCTTCTGTCTTATTAACAGTTAGAATTTAGGTTAATTGGTACAAGTGGTTCACCAAAAAGTAGGTTGTCTGACTGTATTAGAGACATAGCTAGCAAATGTTAGTGTTTCATTCTATGTTCAAGGTCTTTGGGGTTATGGCGACTTATGCGATGGTTACAAAGATATGACCACACAAATCTCGTAAAAGATTGTGGACAGAAACCTAGCCGCCAAAAGTCTCCAATAAGTCGCTGGAAGATGCTAAATTCACCAAATACACCGAATAATCTTCCACAGGAGTAATCAGCCGCTATAGGAATCACACAGTGGATTGAAAAGCGTACTCCTATGGCCAGCCGACTCCACTCAAATCTGTCAGTCATTCGGCTAATATTTCTAGTATCTACGTACAATCCGTTGGAGTTTGCATTTTGTAGAGACTAACAGAAACCTGTGATTTAACCAGATTCGGACGTAGAACCTACCTCATGGTCCTGTGTTCTTCGGTACGTGTTCGCCCCAGAAAATCTCCAGCTTCACTGATCACTTGGGCGCGGCGCAAATGAAACTAGTTGGGGCAGATTTCAAGACGTCAGTCGTAACCTTGAGACAAAGGACGTCAACATTATATCAAAAAGGGGAGGGACTAATAAAGGAACAATCCATTAGACAACGTAGTAGAACCAAGAACACAAACATCTAAAATGAACGTATATTTCAAACCTGAAGTTTTGACCCCCACTGGAAAGTGAGATTTGTCACGGTTTGTTTGGGTAAAAAAAAGGGAACCCACCCGGTATTTTAGAGCTTAAGCGTGATGACGCAATGAATGGGACAATTGAGCCAATCAGGAGGCAGGATACATAATCGGTCAGGTGTAGCTTATAGATGTACCCTTCGGCATGAACGTCAGTTATTATGCACGGGTGCCCGCACTAGGGGTGGGGAGGGGGGCACTGACGCGATCTCAGCTCGTTTCCACCAGACCAACTACACAGGCTGGCAAATCTTATGCAAATAGGGAGAACGGTTTTCCAGGAGAGTTTGACAACCATAGGGTAACATTTGGGGAAATGTTATTGGCCAATTATTGACCCGATTTCGGTGGAATGTTGCTCTCTACACCCCCTTCGGCTAGGTCACAGTGAGCACGATCTGTTCGACAATACTTGTAGGTTTTCTGAAGGTTGAATCAGACATGTTGAACAATATTGTGTCACTGATAACACTATTAGTGTACATACAATAACTTCACAAGACATGGCACATGAGTGCCTTCTGAAAAGGGCGAACTTCATTGATGTCAGTTCTATACTTGGTAATAGTATAGGATTGACATCATGTGAATTCAACACAAATATTATTTAAGCTGATCCGTTTGCAGCCACAACAAATTAAAACTGTCTCTTTCACTAGTTTAAAAATCTAAATTTCGATCTTCGGAAAAGATCTTCTGACACACACATACACGCACGCACACCCACATGCACACAGAGACACATCATGAGACACACACAGACACACACAGACACAGAAAACACACACACAGAAACATACACACACACACACACACACACACACACACACACACACACAGAAACACAGACAAAACACACGCAGACACATGCACACAGACACAGACACACACAGACATACACACACACACACACACACACACACAAACACAAACAAAACAATACAAAAACAACAACATGAACAACAACAGTCAAAGGTCAGTCAAAAATTTAATCTGGGCAATTTTAGAAAATAGAATCAACAATATTTATCTTTTGGGGCGTCATCGATTTTAAACATTCATCAAATAAACACAAAAGGATCAACACTTGTTGCATATACAATTGATGCGATAGATTTTATACTACAACGGCTCAAAATTTGAATTGTCTCAAAGACAACTTTGTGCTGATTTTTCAGCCATTTGTTTTACGGTCATGGCGGATAGTTGGACAATATCCGATGGTACGGAATTAATGTGGGATTGGCGTGTTTAAGTACGTCACACTAAGATAATTAATAATGACTATGTCGGTGCACGTACAAAACTAACGAGCACTTTTGCCCGAAGCCAGTCAAGGTACGCAAATCAGTGGACATAATTACATGATGACGCAATGTTTGACATTACACAGGCAGACATAATAGCTGGGGGTTGATTTCTTTAAGGTTGTTTTGATTTCTTGACATGTGACAAAGAAGAAATTATGGCAAGTTAAGTACGCAACTTTATAAAGTTTGTCTGTTTGTTTAGGAAGACAGAAAATGTGTTGCGTATATAGCTATAATACAGGATAATTTGCATACCAATAATATGAGACAAGTTGTACTCATATTCACGTTCAAGTCTAGATAGCTTGCTAAATTACTTTAGTATGGTGTACTAAAATTACACATTTTTGATATATTGATAGCAAAATAAAGGACAATTATCATTTGGCTAACACTGTAGATATTGTAGAATTAGTAGATAAACTCTATTTATATTAAATCTTGCAAATCATCTCCAATATATATTCTAGAAGCTTATGAATTTCCACAAGTCAATAAATACATTGATAGTACAGCAGTCTTTATATACTATAGTCGTGTTCAAGCAAATAGTGATATGTCTACTGTATACTTTGAGGCTAAATATGAATTTTTGAAGCATTGTTTGGTTGAATATACAGGATATTAATCATTAATTATTAATGATACTGATATTATTGCTTTAAGATATGGATATGGGTTGAATTCTACAACCAATTTGCTATTCAATTCTTTGCAAGCTCATTTAACAAAATTATTCTGAAATTTAGTGTGCCGTAAGTAACACAACGACACATGGACTCTAGGTGGTCTTTTGAGCCATACATGTAGTACGTTTTTTCTTCCTCGAAGAGAAATCTAACTAAGTACTATAAACTCTAAGTACTATAAACAATTCACGACATAAAAGAACTCGTTCTTGTTGGAAGCAACACACGCATGTTGTTAGTAGCGACGGTATGTATCTAATACCTACGGTGGTCGCTTGCTGTAGCTTCAGATAGGTTGCTTTGGTTTCTTCTAGCTGCACTATAATTTCGTCATCTTGGTTTTCTTTTTTTCAGTGGTGTTGTCAGTCGAGCAGTCGTATCATCATTTATGGGCCTGGAGAGGAAACATAAGGCGAAAAAAATCATTATTACAGTCTTAACTCCAGCACTTCTCTTCAGAAATATGCATCATAAGTACGCTTTTTCCCTTCTGTTCGACCAAATCTTAGTATTTGTTTTCATAGTGCATGCCCAACACGTCACTTATACCTTCCTTCGCACGTGTTCTAAGAACGTGTTTTGTGCTGAGTACTAGTGTGCACACATTCGAATGCGTTCTAAGAACGCGTTCTGCTCTGACGTACACACATTCGAACGCGTTCTAAGAACTTGTTTTGTGCTGATGTGCACACATTCGAATGCGTTCTAACAATGCGTTCTGCTCTGACGTGCACACATTCGAACGCGTTCTAAGAACTTGTTTTGTGCTTATATGTGCACACATTCGAATGCGTTCTAAGAACGCGTTCTGCTCTGACGTGCACACATTCGAACGCGTTCAAACCATATTCAAATTCTAAGAACGTGATTTATACGATGACGTGCACACATTTGAACGCCGGCGCCACTTGAAACGTTAAAACGAAAACATAATGGCTATTCTCACTTAAATGTGAAATAAGAACAGAAGCTTTAGTCATACTTACTGTCTGTTGGCATCACAGTTGGCATTTCTCCGGTAGGCTCAGCTGTGTGGTTGGAGAAAAAAGATTGCATGTCATATTTCTGTCCTAATGTCGTAGTTGACCAGTCCACATGATAATGTTACTGTAAATGCTCTACCCTAACTCTAGTACGTCTTTTTGAAGTGTCAGTACGCTTTGGCCCATATGTAGTATCACCGTGTAAAGGAAAATAATTCTATTATAGAAACATGATTTGTGATGATTATTAATCCTGCATAAACTGCGTGCCACCAAACCTTATGATATCTTACATAGATATGCAACCAATATGTTGACTAAAACTAAACCAGGCATCTGCAGCACTTTTATGAAATGTGTAGACAGTATAACAAAGACCTTAGCACAACTCTCTTAGCTTTCCACTCATGAATAGTCGTAATAATCTGCAACTTACGATCACAGTTCAAGCCGTCGTCAGCCAAAATAAAGCCCGCCAGACATGAACAAGTGAAACTCCCAACAGTGTTGTCACAGTCGTGTGCACATCCGCCGTTGTTATCCAAACATTCGTCGACATCTAGAAGAAAGGGGGAGGGGGGTCAGTTCACGTTATGATTTTCACAAACTATCAATGATATACGTTGGTGAAGGTTACTCATCCAGGATAAAGATACATTGATAAAGCCGTTAAATCTTTTCTAACTGGATAATTGAAAGTTTAATGAGTAAACATTTCAAGTACCATCCGGTACTCTTCATCAGTACAAATGTAGAGGAAAGTTCCGGTACAAGAATATATATATCATTATCAATGTATCAATGATATAAGCAGATCTATTGCAGATCTATAGAGGATCTATCTACGGTGTTGGTGCAGGTTTGTGCACAATCGTGAGTGCCATGGGCACATTCGTCGGCATCTAGAAGAAGGGAGAGGGGCTTACTACATGCTTTACAGAAACCATATCACCTCCTCGCACTAACTATCAGTGATAAGCAAACCTATTTGCCATATATATGATATTAAGTACAGGAACTAAAATGTGTTTGTCCTCACCGTCACAGCTGAAACCATCGGCATTCAATACATAGCCATCATTGCAGCCACATGTGAAACTCCCTACGGTGTTGGTGCAGGTTTGTTCACAATTGTCAGTGTCTGCTGCACATTCGTCGACATCTAGAAGAAGGGAGAGGGGGTTAGTACATGCTTTACAGAAGCCATATAACCTCCTCGCACTAACTATCAGTGATAAAGCAGATCTATTTGCTATATTTTTATAAGCCTAAAGTTTTAAGTACAGGAACTAAAAAATGTGGTAGTTCTCACCGTCACAGCTGACACCATCGGCATTCAATACATAGCCTGGATTGCAGCCACATGTGTAACTTCCATCGGTGTTGGTGCAGACTTGTGCACAATTGTCAATGTCTGCTGCACATTCGTCGATATCTGAAGAAAGTGGACGTGAAGTAGTTCATGCTTTATAATTTTCACAAAATATCAATGATAGACAGATCCATTTGCCATAAATAGCTCTGCTTCAGGAAAATCAGTCAAACCTAACAATTTACATTTCAGCTTGGACTAATCTCGAAGCAGATCCTAGGGTGGAAAAAGACAGTATCAAATTGGCCAGGCAGTATCCATTGGCCACCCAAGGACCCTCTCTTTCCAATAGATACTCCCTGGCCAATTTGATACTCCCTTTTCCACCCTAGGATCTGCTTGGAGATTAAGTTTGGACTAGAATAGTCAGAAGTTATGTATATATTATTTTTCATCGTTTGTCTTTTTTTATTTCGTGTTCCTTGCAAGTAGCTAGCCCTTGGGCTAATATAAATATATATATATATATTTCCAATATATATATATTTCCAATATTCTTATGATTAATAATATGTAAGATTCCTAGTACTAAGAGCCAAAATCTGGAATTACTCACCAGTACAGACCAAATCAGATACGTGATCCCTCCAAATACTGTTGAAGCACAGTCTCTGCCGATTTCCGGACCCTGTGGTGTAACCGGGACCACAGGGGTAGTTGCACAGTGTACCGGCGCCGTAAGGAGGTCCGGATGTACAATCGGCAGATGCGCCGACCCCAGGCCAATCCCCGGGTCCACCGGTACAACTTCTACCTGCAAAAAAAAACACACACCGAGTCAGAACACTGATATCCTGTTTGCAGACAGGAGTCTAAATCGCTCCTGCTATAAAATTGCAAAATGATGTAACCCAACATTAGTTACCTCGGTGGCAGACATCTGGTTTAGGTCATTGACCTTATTGGTTTGAAGAAGAAGAAGAAGGGGAAAACAGAGCAAAACAATATGTTTTCCCGCGGTAAACATAAAAACAACAGCGTCGTCCTCCCAAAGATTTCTAATATTGCAAAAACAAAGTCATACGTACAAGCACATTGTATTCCCTTGGATTTTTGGTATTGTCCGTTTGACCTCTGTTGCTTTTTCCATTCGCCTGGGCGGCCCTTGCAGGTCCTTTTTTTCGGCCCTCCAACCCATTTGCAGCCGAGGTTACAGTTCCAAGTGCACTCGGTGAGTTTTATGAATTCTCCACGCACTGATGGGGTCACTGCACGAAAAAAAACCCATATATTTACGCAAAATGTACGAAATACGTCATGGAGTCCTTAAAGGCAGAGAAATATTTAAGTAGACTTTAAAACAATTAAAAGCTACTGAAAAACAAACAAAAAGAAGGATGAAAGTGAATGAAAGAGTACTAGTAGTCTTCGGTTCCGAACATATTACGTCATGCTTTGATTTGTTTCTTTACGTATCGTTTACAGATAATTGCAGGAAATGTTGCGCATTTCTGTTTCACAATTGTTGTGAAATTTTCAGTTATAACTGCAACGTGTTTTTCACACTTCAACCATACAAATACAGTTTTTTTGCTTTGTACGGGTTTTCAGAAAACATGCGCACATACAGCAAATCCTTTGTGTTTTCTACAGTTTAAAAAAAACGTGTTATTTTTTATATTTCTCAAAGGAGCGTTAGAGACCTCTCCCTTTTAACTTATATTGTTACCTGTCTCCTGTTTCTGTATACTTGACTGTACAAGCAATTAGCCTTCGGGCATGATTTTGCAAATAAACATTCGTTATATGTTCCAGAAAGTTAGAGGAAATGTTATTCTTCCCGCCTAGCCTGGATACCATTATATATACTGTTTTCCAGAGCAATCTTTACGTATAAGATGTGTAAAGATACGTAAAGCATGAAAATACGTTAGCGTTGAAGCAGGCTTAAATACCTATTACTCCGTTCAGTCTACAGACGCGTGATGTGTTCGGGATATTCTTCGCATCGCATGTGGGATCTAAAAGGACAAAAAGAAATGAATGAACAAGGAATAGTTACAAACAATAGGTGTACTGTCTGTGATTCTGTAGAATATATTGAGTATTTCTTTTTCGAATGTACAGATGTCAAACCATTATGGTCAGAAGTAGAAAAGTGTTTTCTTTTTGAATATGGCCACGCGCTAGTGTTAACCATACAAGCTGTATTTCTCGGATATATTCTTTCTGGTGTAAGATTTAAACACTTTAATGAACTGATAAATACAAAAAAATACCATCTGTAACTTTAAATATGGAAGTAGTCGAATGGATATAATCTCACTGTTTAAAGTCGAATGTTTATTAAGAAACGTATGAAAAATTGTAATCACGGCATATTATGTTACTAGTGTGCACCTGTGTACTTGTACTTTATGCTTTATGAACAACAATAAAGTTAAAAAAAGACATGAATGAATGAATGAAGAACTTTATTGTACATACATATATACATACCCACTAGGTTAAGTACCCATAACAAAGGAATAGCTTGTATGTCAGGTTAGAGACTCTGTTAATGTGGTAGGGCGGTTTCCTATTTACAAAAGTTGAACTGTTCGGACTGTCTTTAAACAAATATCAGTATCTTTGCTGGGTCAGTCTACTGAGGAAGATCAGAGTGACTGGTGACAAGCGCTAAGTGAAATCATTTACATTTTGTGAAGAAAATCAACCTGTTCTCCACCTCAACTTTTTGAGTTGAAGATTAGTTTCTTCATGTATTTTACCAACTCAGATGAACTTTCATGCCAGTATTTACATTTGTGTTGAAACAAAACTTTTACCTTTAAACATATAACTACCAACTTTCATGGTAAGAGCTCAACTACTTGCCACAAAGTGCAATCTGTATTCATAATAATGCCTGTAATAAACAACGAACTCACCTTTCTTCCTTTTCTTCGCCAAAACGGTGACTGCAGTCAGCAGCACCAGGGATAGTATCAGTAGTCTTGGAGAGCTGGAAAAACAACCAGAGGAACATTTACTCTAACTGTTACATATCATATTCAAATAAAGTTACCTCAGGTGGTTAGGGGTGTTGAATCCGAAGGTTCTGGGTTCGAATCCCTTCCAGCAATTAATCTTTCTTATGCGCTTTGATCATCCTGTATTATACAAACCCATTTCAAATTATATTTCTAACATCACAAAGAAACGAGAAGAAGCCTAACTTCTGTATTAGAGTAGTTTTAGAGCTGTTTGTAATACAAACATGTATATTACACATTTCATCTGTTCGCCTGTACTTAGCCCGGTAGGGCATGAATGTACAATAAAGGTTATTATTATTATTAATCACGCTTTGAGAATGAAATGATGGCAAAAATGTGCCAGGAAATGACAATATCAGACAGATGTTCCCATGCAGAATGTTTCAAATCGAATTTGAATTGGGTGCCTGCGCCTTTAATAAGAAAAACACACATTTACAAAAATGTACAAGCTGGATATGTTTCAGGCGTTTGGAATCCAACAAGGTCTGTGATTCGTGAATGATGATGTAATAGGATGTGACACAGCACATCAGTAACGCCTTTCTGATTGGTCACCACAAAACTATTCCCCAATGCCAACTGTAACGTTGCCAATTCGAACTATTTGAAATACAGTCACTGAAATATTAACAGAAAAAAACAACTACTGATTGAACTCATAGTTATAACTGCAAAACTGACAAACACTGGGACGTACTAAAACTGGATTTGTATAAATTATGACCAATGATTTTGGACGTAACTTTGAAAGACAACAAACCACGCAAATCGTACAAATTGTAATTCGTTATCATTCTGTTCAACTACTTATCATTTCATACATAAAGAATTTAAAGTAGCCCCAAAACAAGGTACGCGAGATCTCTCTTCATTTTTCTGGTACCGCCCATGAATACATAGAGCTAGAACCAGTCTACGATACAAAAAAGCCACCGTTTTCCGTCAGTGACATCGAATTTTGCCTCACAGATAACAGTATGATATAGGATAGGATTGAGTCAACTTACTACATTTAAAATAAACGAGCAGGAAATTTTGAAAAAATTGTAAAATCTTGGAAAATCCAGTTTTCACGCCATGAAATTGCATTAATTGGATGTCTTTAAACATTATGATTGCGCAATGTGTAAAAAAAAGGCGGGCCAGGCCCGTACCAGTCAATGCCAGCCAAAATAATAATAGGCCATGTGGTGGTGACTCAATTGACGACAATGTGAGGGTGTGTTCTGGGGATGGGAAGTGTCGATGACTTTTGAAGAGTTAAGTTCGTCATACATATTAACATGTTATCTTCCTAAATACACCGTATGAAGGCCCGATTTACACGAGGCAAAAAAATACATGTGTCCTACGAAGCGTGTGGCACGGCGCCAGGCGTCGCACACTGTAGGACAGATTTTTGAGCGTGTAAACAGGCCCAAAATGGACGCACATCTTAAAGCCTGCGTAAAGGCACATACGAGTACGAAACGGAATCTTTACAGACGCTTTAAGGCGGGCGTAAAGAATAGATTCTGTGCAGTTATGTTTAGACCGTCCGTTTCATATCGGGCATAACAAGGAACACAACAAATCAAGACATTGTTTTGTTATTATATTTTCTCTCTTTCTGTGGTGAAGCTAAAATTGATGTCGCCAAAGCTGTTCACCATTGTGTATTTCACTTTTTTTATGTTGATCAATAAAAAATAAGACAACAAAAATGTGTCCGGTGGTACATACCGAGGGGGTTTAATAGAGCGAAAAATAATTGCTCAAATTTTCTGACTGACACCACCGGATACGTCAAACATGACCCAAACCGGTCCGTCTACTCACTCCCTGCGCTTGTTATGTTCGATGTGCGTAGGACTGTCATTATGGGTGACCTTTCAGGTAGGTTGGGAGTCCAGGCGCGCCTTATAATTACGGTCATTACTTCAGGAGTTGTGCAATTATGTAGAAAACAGTCCTCAATGTTCGTCATTACAAAATCTGTCAAACTTTCCACGAGAGAGTGCGAACATTTAATGATTTCACAGATTGCTCCACGATTGTCATAGATAAAACACGACATTTTCTACGTTTTGGGTGTTTCGTTTGTGTCATATTTTATACATCTTATTCCAATCACGAAATCAACGGCCACACAAGGGCGTAACCACAGAGTACTTGGCTCAGAACCAAGAGGTCCCGGGTTCGAATCCTGCCATGACACCGATCTTGTGCCCTTGGTTAAACTACTTTCCTCACATAACTCAGGTGAAAATGTGGCCTCTCGTGTGCACATGGGAAAAATCTACCGTCAGAGTCTTGTACGTCATATCATAACGCAATTTTCTATGTGATGGACAAGATGGACTACGAGATACGGCATTCCAGATGATCTCACTGATACTGGGAGTACAGATAAACGGCCTGTCTGCGTCTATAACTGCCTTGGGGCGTCAAAGTTGTCTTGCCAAATTTGACTGCCGCACGAAAAGCAGAACCATCTGTCTAGATCTGCTTTGTGGAAAACCCAAATCTTCCTCGGTAAGGATTACAAGCAAAACTTAATCCACTAAGGATTAGCTCTAATCCCCTACCGTATTATGAACAGCGACTCGGGGGCAAAGATGTTTGTTTAAAATTTGGCGATAGGTATTACTACTAATTTTCTGTTTTCTGTGGCCTAAACTATGAGGGTTCCTTTTTTACAGTGCCTTTCTGACTTGTATTGTTCTAAATAAAAAAGGAACCTTTTTGGAGTGTAACGGTACTGTGCTGGTTTTCAGTTAGGATGTTTACCATATTATCGTGAGTTCCTAGATAGCTTTACGGTACTGAGAGTGTTGCCCGCCCGCCCAGGTTGCCTAGCGCACCCCGGCGTTGGTTTCAATTACTAGTACTTCGCTCACAAACGATAGGCTGTCAGAAAATTTCAGGTTGGCTGAAAAGATAGGCTGTCAGAAACTTTTCATATATAAACTCCTATCATCCGTAATCAACACTTTTGAGCTGCTTTGGACCACACAGTTTGGCAGAAAGTTGCTGAAGAATGTGCTTCTATAGAACACACTATGAATATGGGAAGTTGAGCGGAATTTCCATTCATTGTATTTGGTCAGTAACCAATTGAACATACTACTATTACACCAAACTGTCAAACACGAACAAGTAGCTTTTTGAATGCCAAAATGACCAAGCTGTACAGGGTATTTTTTACCCTTCCATCACAAATGCCTCCCTTATAAATTACTCGTCTCATAAATGTAGACAATTCTTTTTTTGGGTGAAATTATAGACATTATCAAAGAGAAAAGACCCGGTTTCTGGTAAAATCATAGACTGTGGATGCTGAAACGTAACCTCATTAGTAAGTACAAGGTCGTGTTGGCCTACATAATGATGATGTCGCAATATATTTTCTGTCCTAAAAGAACTTATGCAATTTGTTCGGATGCAATCCATTAGATTAGCCTCCTTCGCACGTTTTCGTTTTTTGGGCTATCATTGGCAGATTTCTGGTTGCGTGAGAGCCAGCAAACAAGAAACTGTGTGCAATGAGACAATTTAACAGACAATTGGGAAACTACATTGGCCTCCTAAAAAGCCCAAATCTTAAGTATGTTAACCAGGCTACATCAGACACCAAGCCGGTTTAGGGTTGAATTTTGTGTGAACATCCCCGTAGCCAGGAATTTTATTGGGGAAGTTCTTCCCACTGTCTGAGGGACCAGCGAGCACCGTAGGTGCGAGGGTGGTCCGAGGGCATGCTCCCCCGAAAATTAGGAAAATTATACCTTCTGAAATGGCATTTCCTGCGTTTTAGAAGGAGAAATGAGAGATAACCTTTTATTTAATGACAAAGTGAGCAGTTTTTCTAGGATTCTAGCCCTGCTCAAATCAGTCCACCTTTTTAAAGAAAAATCTTGGACTTTAGTATACAAAATGGACCTTCGAGTCTTCTGGGTGTTCTTCTGAGCCCCCCTGGCTACGGGCATGGCACTTAAGTTGTTGACAGTTGTTGACTGTCTTACCACTGATTTATAAACACGCTCGTACACTATGTGTTGAGTACGTGTTTGGTGCTAGCTAGCGTTACGGCCCGGCCATATTCCTCCTATGATCGCAAACTGAGGACATGTGTTCTTCCACATCCTGCTCTATTCTACAGAACTAGAACTTGAAAGACTGCGACCTAGATTCTTTCCGGCGGTTAGTTTTGTCCCCAGCCTCCTAGAGAAATCTCAAACTCGTACTTCGACCTACGACACACAGCCTTCACACGGCCTTCCTACGGGGGTACGGATCCTAGAATTCGTGAAAAAAGGGGAAATAGTTGGCCAGGCCTTCCTAGGGGGGTACGGATTCAAGAATTCGGGGGAATTCTTGGATCCTTTCTTGGAAAAAAGGGAAATAATTGACCAGGAGAGTCAGTCCGCGAGAGGGTTGGACTTCCCCCTAACAGCGTGGCCAGTCAAACCCCAAGGCGGCCAAAACTCCCTGGCAAATATTGTACATATCGCCAGCGTAGCTAGTCTGGTAGAGACTATACGACGTATGTGGCCCATTCTTTGTAGAAGGAGTATGCCAAAGGACTTGGTCGGTTATAAGAGCGCAAAAGCTGACCAACCGCTCTGACAGAATGTTCCCGCCTCTTTCTACCATTTGGTCAAGCAACAGAACGTTCAGGAAGAGAATGGGTACTCTTGGCAACACTTGTACGTTTTCTACCGGCTCAGGTTTTCTCATCTATCTAAATTCACAAGAAAAGAGCCGGTTGTAGTAGAGCGCAAACCCGCCCTCAAAGCTGACCAACCTGTCTGACATAATGTTTCCCCGCCTCTTTCTACCATTTGGTCAAGCAACAGAACGTTCAGGAAGAGAATGGGTACTCTTGACAACACTTGTAAGTTTTCTACTGGCTCAGATTTTCTCATCTATCTAAATTCACAAGAATAGAGCCAGTTGTAGAAGAGTGCAAACCCGCTCTCAAAGCTGACCAACCTGTCTGACAGAATGTTCCGCCTCTTTCTACCATTTGGTCAAGCAACAGAACGTTCAGGAAGAGATTGAGTATTCTAAGTAATAGTTGTAAGTTTTCTACCGGCTCAGATTTTCTCTTTTATCTAAATTCACATGAAGACAACCGGTTGTAGAAGAGTGCAAACCCGCCCTCAAAGCTGACCAACCTGTCTGACAGAATGTTTCCCCGCCTTTTTCTACCATTTGGTCAAGCAACAGAACGTTCAGGAAGAGTAACACTTGGTAACACACAAGTTCTCTTAGGAACACACAGTTTTCTACCGGCTCAGATTTTTTCTTTTGTCTGAATTCTCAGAAAGAGAGCCGGTTGTAAATCCGGTGATCCGGTCAGGTCAAGACCGGGGACCTTGACAACAGCACTTCGGGCCATCGTGTGTCAGCGCCCGGCCCAGTCATGGATAAGAAATCCCGCCTTAGGTGACGATTTCGGACTTTTCTTGACCGTTACTTGTGTTTTCATCCGTAAAAAAACAACAACGTACCGGAGAAATCTTACAAAGAAGCTTTAAAGGTTGTTGGGAGACTAAAAAATGTTCAGACGGCCCGAGACCACCCGCCCGACTGAGTACTGGTGGCAACAATTTTCTGATCCCGAAAAGTGTACAAAAGACGGACTTAATCGTACAGAAAAACTCTAAAAGCCAGGAGGAAAACCAGCGGTACAGTCCCACAGGGATAAAAGAATTCTAACAGAGAAAAAACAAACCAACCTCTTCATGTTGCAACAGGCGCGCGGTGGTCTGGGTGGTTATCCAGTGAACTCCGTGACTAGAATGAATTCTTTAGCTGCTCGCTTCGTGATTAAGATCAACTGTATATAGAGGTGTGCCGACCGCAACACGTCATGTGACGTAAGCCAATGTCCTCTGCTATCAGAGCGTTCAACTACGCCCGGGTCTAATAACTACATGTACATACTCTGCACTCGGCTGGAATAAGTGGGCCTGCGCACGCGCAATTCCTGTAACATTAGACGTTGTCGCTTGGTTTACGATTAGGTGTGTGTCTTGTAACTTTCACCTTGTTTTCAGAGCTTTTCAAAACTCTCTTCTTGTGTCTTTTTGACTTGCTTTGTTGCCCTGATTTTCCTCATGGGCCTTTTTGGAGCTTAGAGCCCGGTCACATTTGTCTTGTAACCTTCCACTTGTTTTGAACGTTTTTTAACTCTTTTTTTTTTGCCCACTTTGGCGCCGTGATTTTCCTCACGTTCGTTGGTTTGAGGGTATTTTTTTCCCTTTTGGGTCTTTCTGCTTTTGCGCTTTTCTTCTGGAGCGAGGCGTTTTGACTTACGACCCAGTCACAATTGTTGTTGTGTCGTGGGACGATCGTACACTCTTGAAATAGTCGTGCATGGTTCGTACATACTTCAGCTGTCTTGCTATGGAAAACGAAGTCGCAGATTCTTGTCGGCGGTTGGTTCTGCCAAAGCTTGAAAATTCTACAACATTGAAATCGTTTGGGAGCAGCCATAGCTCCTGGGTAGAATATAAAAGCCCCAAATAAAAACTCACATTCTCGAAGTGAGTCGATGACAATTGTGTCTTTACCCTTTTACACGGTCTCTATCTGATCTATCCAAATGGAATACGAAAAAGTTTTGTAAAATACTGATGCTTGGAACTATAGAAAAAAAATATTTTGTGGCATAGAGCCGCAAAGAAAGAAAGAAGGAAGGAAAGAAAGAACACTGTATGGTAACTACATTGAACCCGACTCACCAATGACTAGAAAATGGTTCAATGCACGAATGGGTCATAGCTGAAAGTTTGGGTTTATGTGGTTCCTTTTTGTTCAAATTTCGATACCCTGTGAGATGGACATTAACATGAATTATCGTGCAGAAGTACAGTTAACATTTTCTCATTGCTATCTGTTCACTCCAGGATGAAAAAGGAGGTCCATTTTTGTCACTTTTGTGTTGGAGATTTCAGTGCAGTCCGTTATTTTGAACGAATCTATTGGAACGTCCAGTTTTCAAACTCAAAGTACCCATACAGAGTTTTGCACGGGAAGTTTTGCACAATCACAGTAATATAAGTAATGTAAGAGTAGTATTCCAAAACACGATCCATTTAAAATCATGTTGTGGAATAACGCGTTTTGGAATGCAACAGGAATCTCATTAAGGTCTTCAGTACTAACTACGTACACCGGAGGTAGGAAATGTCACGAAAAACGTCACTGCACAGTGTTTAGGCCCAAGTCCTTGGTATACCCAAGAAAATGGTTTTGTCTACGTATGTAAATCATGCTATAGCCTTGACAAATACGCTGAGAGGGATTTTCTACATAATTTGAGGTTACCTTGAGTTAAACTTTTGATCTGATCAACAGGTGTGCACGTGTTAATTACACGTGATCCGGAATATATGAAACAAAATTCATAACTTTTTATTAGAAAATATTTTTTCGCTCTGGTTGTTATTTGTTAGTCATGGCTATGTTTCACAAAATTCATTAACTACAGGGAGTGTTTCATTGTCTGTGTATTACAAGCGATTTCGCAACCACACTTCTATCTGATTGGTCCACATGCATATGCATAAGCAATGACGTAATTTTACATGAATGACGTCAGAAGACATCTCGGCAAAGTTGAATTCATGTAGCCTTTAACTTAACTCGAATATGATGTTCGCAAAAGTTTGACATAAAAGGCAACAAAACACAGAAAATGTAAAAAGAAATCGTTTTATCGTCAGAAACCTTCAGATCAGTGGTCATAGCCTGTTGTGGAATCCACCCAAAATAATATGGTTGACAAGGAGGAAAGGTACTAGAAAAGGTGGTGTGAAACATGTTTTGGTCAATACATAACTCCATAATCATTCTTTTATGCTTGAACAGCACAAGGTAATCTCCAAGCAGATCTTTTCGTGGTTGCAAAACAGTATGAAATTTGGCAGACAGTTACCATTTGCCGTTACACTGAAAAAAAAGAAAGCTCGATAAAATTGCCCATAAGCCAAAGCCTAAACCTCTGCTTAGAGAGTAAGCACAATGATGAGGCTTTGGGATTTGTAGAATAATTATGTGCGAAAAGTTAGATCTATAATCATACCTTTCTACGTATGGATGAGGCAATTGTTGGCCGATAATTTCAGGCCAATTTTTTCGGTGCGGTGGACTTGGATGTGTCATTATGGGTGGGACAGGAAGGACCGTGGGAAACGATCTGATGACAAAAAAAAAAGAAAAAAATTGAAAAAAAAATTGTCCTTTCATTTGATTGATACAATTTCCAATGTTTTTACTACTTAATGAATCGTTAGCGTTTCAATCAAAATTCGATCCATTCCAAAAACATGTGGAATAACGCGTTTTGGAATGCAACAGGGCTCTCGTTAAGGTCTTCAGTACTAACTACGTACACCGGAGGTAGGAAATGTCACGAAAAACGTCACTGCACAGTGTTTAGGCCCAAGTCCTTGGTATACCCAAGAAAATGGTTTTTTGTTTATGTATGTAAATCATGCTCTAGCCTTGACAAATACGCTGAGAGGAAAAAAAAGATTGTACTTTCATTTAATTGATACAATTTCCAATGTTTTTACTACTGAATGAATCGTTAGCCCCCCCCCCCCAAATTGCCTAAGTGTGTTCAAATTTTACAATGTTGCCATTTTGCATTTTCTACCTCAAACACAGATAGTCCACATCGAAAGAAAAGAACGGTTTATTCACGTTTTAGGCCTAATTTTTTCTCACTGATGTTCACCGCAATTTGACTGCATCTTTGAAAAAGAGCCATATCTCAATGAACTCGACAGAAGAACTACCGTGCGTGTATTTTCCCATTGGTCTTTGAGAAGAACGCTATGTGCAGTTCGCTTATAGAATTAAGCTGGAATAACTTAAAATAAAAAAACGTATGAGTTTTGATTTGGATGAAAAAACTTGATGCGAATGAAGGGTAACGTGTATCAAAAGTGCTCGCTGATTGGCCCACAATCAGTGACGTAGGTCCCCAATGTTATCACTGGAAATGACGCGGGAAAAATCATTGAATTAGTGACGACTGAAGGGAACATCCGACAGCAACAATCGTTCAATCTTTGCTGCATGATCGCAACTACGGAAGACGTGTCAGTGTCCCCGATATGAAAACAAACCTACAGTGGGTACCACTCGAAGACAGAGGGAAAATGTCTAAAATATAGATGTACACCATGACTGACAAACTAGTGTATGTACCAACTACTAAGAATCTAATACCAGCTCAGAAAAGAGCAGGAAAAAAAAACTGTACAAATTTAATTACAACGATAAAGAAAAACAATGACAATGCTACTTTTAAATATAATTTCTGCCCCAGAATGTAGGAGTATATGTTAAATAACTAAAAGAAATGCACTATTATGAGAACTGCACAAAGTGTACAATCATGAAGCAGCGTCTCTTGTTCTTCTAGAACAATTTTTGCTTTGTCATGGCTGTAAAATATACCATGTTGGGTGGTCCAGGGAAAAATTGGCCGAATATGGCATTTGATTTTGATTGGAATTACCTTCTAGAACCTTTCTATATTTTTTTTGTCTTAATCAGCACAATTTACATAGTAGCCTACGTATTTTAATGCAGAAATCGACATAAAGATTTTAAGTGTTTTTGTCAAGTTCGGTATTGTGAATGTTAGAGAACTTCAAGGAAAATGTAGGAAACCATGCAATTCTATACACATTGGAGTACTGAAAAAACACACACATATGGCATTTTGACCACACAGACACAGACACACACACACATACCGCGTGTGGAGTTGTTTCATAAACAACTGATACAAATTCCCCTTGTATACATGGGCGTCTTGTGTAAAATAAAATCACAAACCACGAATACTAGATCTCAGGTTAGTTAGCCCTCTCCTCTTCCCAAACGTTGAGGAAGAAGAAAACCAGTATTGCATTAATCCAATCACCTATATTCAAAATTACAGAGATCTCACAAGCTATTCATAGCACGAACTAGTTGAAGTAATATCGTGCCATAGGCAAAGTAACATGCAGGCATGTTATGAAATACAAAAGAATTCAAGCAACTGGATAAATACTGTTAAGTCAGACCTTTTGGATAGCATTCACTGTTTCATATCGGTGACTGGGTCTACAGAAAAGTGTAGGGAATACTTATCTGTATACAGGTAATACATGTACTGTCTTCAGACTCATAGCGGACATGGATACTATCTGAAACGTTTGACTCTTCTGTGAGATATTCTATATGTTACTATCATGCCCTGTCAACATTTGCACTTATGTAGGCCAATTTGTACACAATTCAATGACAAAACGAGAAAACGTAATTAATTCCTGACACAATTTATTACTACATTGTATTAATAGAGTTAGATTAGTATAATTAGTGTCTCTCTTTTGTTATACATTGTTTATGAAGCAGACCAGATTCCTAGTACAGTTAGTAGAATTGTTAGATATTCTCAACACCACCATATGTGTATGTTAACACCACAAATTATGTATGTATATTTTGCCATACGTTGTATATGTACCCGCTATACTAGATCTGTTGCGCAATTAAGTTCTTCTTGTATCTGTATCTGTAAACCCGCCAAAACCTCTACATAAGGACCACCTGGTTATTGCTGTACAGTCAAACATGTACAAGTGAACACCTCTACAGAAGGACGACCTGGTCCACATGACCACTTTTTGATGGTCTCTTAGATAGTTTTCTTCTTGGTCCAAGCATGAAGATACTGTAAAAAATCCTATCCATAGTGACCATCTGTCTATTTATTTATTTGGATTCGCCACTGGTACAAGAACTATACAATTGAAAGGGAGGGCCAAACAGACGTATAAACAGCTCTGCAAGTTGCCCTCCCAGACACTACAATACAATATCTAT